CATACAACCAGCTCCTGGGGCTGGAAAGTTAAGACTGAGCGCTACAAAAGGTTTATGCACCCTTTATAAATCCAGTCTTTATGTATCACAAGTACGTTTAAGTCCCTTGAGCTATTCTTGAAGCTCCAAAGAACAGACAAAAAAATCCCCAAAAATATAACCAAAAAATGCCAAACACACTGGTCTCTCATTCCTGTGCCATGCTGTGTTGTCTGCCCTGCACCACCTGGCACAAGTTGCATTGTATGATCACAAAGAGACACACTGGGGATAGAGAGGAGGGGGGATAAAGAGCCTGGAGCACTGGGAGACAAAAGGATGGATATTTTGAGGCAGATGGTCAGATGGTCCTGAAAGGGCTTATGGTGATTTCCTCAAAATAAGCTGCGGGCAGAAACCCGGCCTCCCCCTTCCTTGTCTTACCCAGCCCAGCTCTGCTTGGCTTCCTCCGCTCTTCCTCTGGGGTTTTCCCCCACATTTCACCATCAGCTTCCTCCCTGCACACACACACAACCCCTGGGAGGCAGGGACAGTGCTGGGGTCTGCTGTCCCTCACAGCTCTCCTGCCCGGGCTGGCCTTGTCCCCACCATCCCAGGGTGGGGATGGATGCTCCAGGGGCACCTCCAAACTGGCAGCCAACAACGTGCCGAGGGTTCAGCTAACACGTTTTAACACCTAACAACATATCACTGGCTCAGTAGCTCTCCTGCTACACTGAGTAACCACCCGGAGAGCCAAGATGCTTAACAAGGCATGTGGTTTATCGCAGCATTCCCACATGGCTTAGACACGCTTTGAATTGCAAATCAAGCAAGGGCTTAGTGATGATGGACACCTCAAGCAAGGCATATTTTTGTTGGTTTAGTGGGCAGGTGTTTAAATACAGCTGCGTGGTTTTTGTACTGCTTGTGCCTGACAGTGCATTAACTAAAATTACCGTATCAGATAACCGCGGTATCGAGCGATGCTGCAGCACAGACTGTTGGCAGCAACTCATCCCAACTGTTTCCTGGTCATCCTTTTACTTTGCCTGCAGTTCTTCAGGAACACTTCATCCCCTCTTCAAGTTTCTGCCTGGAGTTTTCAAACAGAGACGGGGATGGAAAGAGATGGAAGGTCAGGCTTGGCTTTGAATAGTTCAGAGAGGAGATTTAACACATCAAGTTGTCTATAAAGCTGCTTTTTTTTTTTCAGTATAGCATTTTAAAATGATTCAGATAACATGAGTCACAGTAACAAGCATGGGCTGGATCTCTTTAGCTAAAAAAAAAAAAAAAA